AACGAGCGCATCCCAATGCTAGAATATCACTTCAGGGAATGGATAATAACAAACTTCAGTGAGTTAAAAGACCATGTTGTAGCCCAACGTAAAGAAACTAGGAACTTTGAAAAAAAGTTTGATGAAATCCTATTGAGAATAGACAACTTAGAGAGGAGTATGAGTGAAATAATGTAACTGAAGAATACAATACAGGAACTCCGAGAAGTTTGCACAGGTTTAAACACTCGAATTGTTCAAGCAGAAGAAGGGATATTGGAGGTCACAGTCCAACTTAATGAAATAAAACGTGAAGAAAAGATTGGAGAAAAAAGGATAAAAAGGAATGAGCAAAGTCTCCAAGAAATGTGGGACTATGTGAAAAGACCAAATCTATGTTTGATAGGTGTACCTGAATGTGACGGAGAGAATGAATCCAAGATGGAAAATACCCTTCAGGAAATTATTCAGGAAAATTTTCCTAAACTAGCAAAGCAGGACCATATTCAACCCCAGGTAATACAGAGAACACCACAAAGATATTCCTCAAGAAGAGCAACCCCAAGGCACATAATCGTTAGATTCACCAGGGTTGAAACGAAGGAGAAAATACTAAGGGCAGCCAGAGAGAAAGGTCAGGTTACCCACAAAGGCAAGCCAATCAGACTTAAAGCAGATCTCTCAGCAGAAACTCTACAAGCCAGAAGAGAGTGGGGGCCAATATTCAACATCCTCAAAGAACAGAACCTTCAGCCCAGAATTTCATATCCAGCCAAACTAAGCTTCACAACTGAAGGAAAAATAAAATCTTTTATGAACAAGCAAGAACTCAGAGATTTTATTACCACCAGGCCTGCTTTACAAGAGCTTCTGAAAGAAGCATTACACACAGAAATAAACAACCAGTATCAGCCCTTCTAAAAATATACCAAAAAGTAAAGAGCACCAACATAAAGAAGAATTTACACCAACGAATGGATAAAACAGCCAGTTAACATCAAAGGGCAGTAACCCTAAATTTAAATTGACTAAATTCCCCAATCAAAAGACACAGCCAAAACCCAACGGCATGTTACATCCAGACCTGTTTCACAGGCAAGGATACACAAAGACTCAAAACAAAGGGATGGAGAAAGATTTACCAACCAAATGGAGAGCAAAAATAAATAATAAATAAATAAAAAGCAGGAGTTGCAATTCTCATATCGGAGAAAATAGATTTTAAAGCAACAAAGATATAGTGGTAAAAGGATCAATGCAACAACAAGAGCTAAGGATCCTAACACCCAGATACATAGAGACTTAGACACAATGAGACAGAAAATTAATAAGGATATGAAGGACTCGAGCTCAGATCCGGGACAAGTAAACTTAATAAATATTTATAGAACTCTTCACTTCAGATACACAAAATAAACATTTTAGTCAATACCACATCACACGTACTCATAGGTTTAAATGAAATATTGATTGGCCATTATTAATACCCATTTTTTTTAAGAATAAAGCAATATTTCCACTCACTCTCCCTCTTTCTCTTCCTCTTTCTTCCTCTCCTTTATTCATTTTTTTCTTCTTTCCTTCACTCAAAAAAAAAAGAAATCAACTTGTAAACCTCTAGATCCAGGTCGGCAATGTCTCTCTCATTGCTTGAATTCCTTCCTTCCCTCCCCTCCCCTCCCTCCCTCCCTCCCCGCTTCCTCCCTTCCTTCATCCCTCCCTTCCTCAAATTAAAAAAAAAAAAAAAGAAAGCTACCAGTCTTTAAAACTAGTAATTGACATTGTTGTACAGTTTCTAAGCAGTGCCCCTTTATTGATTCCCATGTGTTTTCCAAGTTTGTTAAATGACCTTGGTGACAAGGATCCCTCCCCACTCCCCAAGGCTTCTAAACCGAGCCTCAGAGATGCTGTTCTGCCTATTGGAAGAAGACTGAATGCTTGGTGGGAAGAAGATGTGATGTGGGTGTGTCTAAAATTAGAGGTGCTAATGAAATAAACTTGAGTGAACGAAGATTCCTGTCGTATGTTCAGATTCTGTGATGTATGAGGCAGGAGGACTTAGCAGGGCCCAGATCAAAGCTTGTGAAATTATCACAGATTGGAGCTGGGCTGGACCCCATGGTAGGTTCTCAAAAAAAAAAAAAAAAAAAAAGATGCATTGAAGAAATTTGCCAAAATGTCAGAGACTGAATCAACATGGATTTAACTTGATTGGAAAAGAATTATCAATAGATTAAGAAGGTAATAGTAGTCCTTAACAGAGGAGATGTGGTTAAAATCATTGGGATCCAACTTGAGGGCTTGCCCCATTTCCATTGATAATTTTTATTTGGTTTAGGCTAAACTACTTCATTTTCCTGCCTTAGCTTCTCTACCTAAATGAGTTTTTTATTCCATGAAAACCCTTATTTCTACCAAACCAGGATTTGTGTTGATTTATAGGTCAGTGGTTCAGAAACTTGAACATACACCACAGACACCTAGAAGAGCTATTAAGACACAAATTACCTGGCCCTACCCCAAGAACTTGGATTTCGTAGGTGTGGTGTGGCTCTGAGAATGTGCATTTCTTTTTCTTTTTTTTTTTTTTGAGACGGAGTCTCGCTCTTGTTACCCAGGCTGGAGTGCAATGGCGCAATCTCGGCTCACCGCAACCTCCACCTCCTGGGTTCGGGCAATTCTCCTGCCTCAGCCTCCCTAGTAGCTGGGATTACAGGCACGCGCCACCATGCCCAGCTGATTTTTTGTATTTTTAGTAGAGACAGGATTTCACCATGTTGACCAGGAAGGTCTCGAACTCTTGACCTCGTGATCCACCCGCCTCAGCCTCCCAAAGTGCTGGGATTACAGGCGTGAGCTACCACGCCCGGCCGAGAATGTAAATTTCTGACAGGTGGGGTGGTCTTGGTGCTGCTGTCCTAGGGCCACTGCTGCAAGTCATTTTGTTTTTTTCTTTCTGAATAATTGCCAATAAGGTGTTGGTAAAATTGTGGTCTCTTTGGTTAGATAAATACCTTTTCTAGGATGCAGAAGAGAAGTTTTTCTATTCAGAACCTTACAGAACAAAAATGGTGTGTTTTAAGACCTTGTTTCAGCCGAACATGGTGGCTCATGCCTATAATCCCAGCACTTTGGAAGGCTGAGGTAGGCAAATTGCTTGAGCTCAGGAGTTCGAGACCAGCCTGGGTAACATGGTGAAACCCCCAACTCTACAAAAAAATTAGCCAGGTATGGTGGTGTGCACCTGTGGTTCCAGCTAGTCAGGAGGCTGAGGTGGGAGGATCACTTGAACCCAGGAGGTCAAGGCTGCAGTGAGCTGTGACTGCCCTACTACACTCCTGCCTGGGTGACAGAGCGAGACCCTGCCTCAGGAAACAAAACAAGATCCTGCATTCTGTCCTCGTGTAAGTTCGCATAGCTCAGTAATTCTAAGCAGCTCAGTCAGTAGCATTGAAGGCAATTTTAGCTGAAAAGGTTGCTCTTCCCCTCATTTCTGTAGTCTCAGCCCTTAAGGTTTGGGGAAGAATTAAAAATTTAAAATGTGATTTAATTTTTATTGTAACATTTGTTGAATGTTCATTTTCCCCTTTTAAATTGATGTGTGACTTACAGTTTTTAACAAAAATACTAATCTTAAGTGTGTAGCAGTAAAGTTTTATACGTATGTATGTAACTACCATACAGTAAGAAATAATACAGTGTGAAGACCCAAATAAGGCAGGGAATTAGTGTTGGCTCTACCAGCAACCTGTTCCCCCAGGAGCAAATGACTAACATTCAGATAGACAGAGTTTTTCTGCATCCCTAGCTTAATTGTAATTAAACGAATTTTTATGTTTCTTAATTCTGGAAAATTTCATCTTGTAATGGCACAAGGTAGCCAAAAGGGAGAAGCAGGTAGGGGTCACAGGTACCTTATTTCTCTGGGTAATACCTTACTTGATATTAAGAGATTTGTATTGTAAGATTACTGGTTATGTGTTGATGCAGTGTTTGGGTGGAGTTGTCTATAAAGTAATATAAGCTTTTTCCCAAAACTAGAGTGATCCTGCGGAAGGTAGTTTACTTGTTAGTTCCTATGGTTTTATTGATGTTATTGTCCTTTAACAGTCAGAAAGATGTCAAGGGTCAAGGCATAGTGGTTTACACCTGTAATCTTAATACTTCGGGAGACCAAGGTGAGAGGACTGCTTGAGGCCAAGCGTTTAAGACCAGCCTGGGCAACATAATGAGACTCCATCTCTACTTTAAGAAAAAAAAAATTAACCAGATGCAGTGGTACATGCCTGTGGTCCCTGCTACTAGGGAGGCAGAAGTGGGAGGATCACTTAAACCCAAGAGTTTGAGGCTGCAGTGAACTGTGTTTGTACCCCTGCACCCCAACCTGGGCAATAGGACAAGACCTTGTCTCTAAAAAAAAGTTGGAAAAGAATCAGAAGTTATCCAGTTAAAAGGGTAAAAGTCCTAGTGTATGATAGGAACAAAATGTTTATGACCTTCTACCAAGTATTTTAAATACGACCTTGATTTTTCAATATTTTTGTCCTACTTGGTTGGAGACACACACACACACACACGATGCGTAATTAGACACACACGTGTATTACAGGATCAAAAAGCAGTCTTTCCCAATAACATTTTCATATGGTATTTTTCAGTTTAAAGAAAAAATTAAAATGCTTTGCCCTTTTAGGGGGAGAGGTAGGTTATTATTGATTTGTTGAATTCAAGAAGGTAGTGCAGCTATTAAGGCCAAAACTGATCCAGAATGAACATTTGAAATTTAGGAAGTGGTCATTATTGATCCAGGCCCATAAAACAGTATCTATTGGAATAGGTAGAAACTGCAGTGAAATTTATAATTTATTTATCTTTTATTTAAAGAAGTCAAAAGGTGAGACTTTTCTTTTTGATAATGATTCTGGGTATATGTTTGATTTTAAATTCTAGTCAGCTTTGTCTTAGGTAAGTGTAATTGCAGAAAATTAACTGATGTATATTTCATTACTTTTGGGTTTCAGAGATGCTGCCTATGGAAGCTGCAATTTCTACATTACGCTTCTTGACTGTTTTCATGCAGTAAAGAAGGTAAGTGACATGTAGGGTGTACCCAGTGTTGCGTTGTGGGGACTAACGTGGTCCAAGAAGACTAGGCCTTCTTCCCAAGATCTGTTTGGTAGCATTTCTTCCAAGATGTATATGGCGACAGAGGTACTCCATTTCTCAACTAATGTTACGAGACCAAACCAGGAAACAGTTTATTCTGAATTTCTGAGTGCTTCTCTGAGTTGGGGGAAAAGTCACTTAAGAAACAGGGAAAATAAGAGTTGTGAAATTAGATTCTAGATCCAGAATTGGTTTTGAGTGTATTATGATCTAAAAGAACAAAAATAAAGATGACTGGTTTACTGGTAAGTTCTCTTTGATTTGTGTATTCTATACACCTGATTCCCATCAATACCATTACAACAGACATAACAAGGTAACTGTCAAACATTTCATTTTTGTTTCATCAGGCATTCAATTTCTAGTTCAACAGAATTTAAATGCCTCAATTGGTTTATTAGACGGTTTTATATGAAATTAAGTAGGTCACTGCTGCTTTGTCAGATTAATTTCCAAGTGATTCCTTGGGGTCTTAACCAGGGTTGCTTTGTTAATTCCAGGGGACACCCTGCATGTCACATTCTACCTGAACAGTGTCCCCTGGGGTTACACAGTGCAGCAAGTCCTGGTGTTAATGACAGAACAGCACAAGAAACTAGAATGCTAAGTCAGTAGCCCATGGTTCAAATAAGCCTTTGACAGCATCTCAAATTTTCTATAACTTGTGCTTTTACACCCAAAAGGATCCCAGGTTTACTTTCTTGTACAGTGAAACCTGGTGGCTTGCTGGGAATTGTGACAGACATTTTATGACTTAAAATGAGAGGACTAATCAGCATACAAATTTAGAAACTAATTAGTATACTTTTTTCCTATATCAGTCAATGAGGTGTGGGAACATAATTTGTTTGGATTTGAATCCAGTGACTGTGGGGTATGGAGCTGATTGGGGTAGTTGCCATGGGCTCTCAGCTTTGGTAGGTACAGGGCACTAGAGGAGATCAGGAGACCAAAGGGCAGCAGTTTAAGGTTGCAGCTCCTACCAGATGGGCTCATGTAGGTAGGCACACTCACCTTTAAAAAGAGAAAAGTAAAGCTTTCAGGGGTTTGGAAATGATCTATTATGATACCATATAGCAGCTTCTGTTGTTAGTTTTTGACTTTTTGTTGTTGTTGAGTATTGCACCCAAAGTCAATTAGCTGGTATGTTAGGTCAAAGATTGCCCTTTTCATACTATATTTTGGGATTTTTAAAATTAAATTTTTATTTTTTCTGCAATGCTTGGCTAATTTTTATATTTTTTTCTGGAGACAATGTCTCACTATGTTGCCTAGGCTGGTCTCAAACTCGTGAGCTCAGGCGATCTACTCATCTTGGCCTCCCAAAGTGCTGGGATTACAGCACCACAGCACCCAGCCACTATATTTAGTTTTATTTAAGGGTCACTACTTCTGATTTTCAGTGTGAACATATTTTATTTGTGACTGATTTTGAGTAGTGCATATATGAAGAAACATGCATCAATGTAATTATGTTTTCAGTGTGATCTACTTCCAATAAGATCACCTCTTGAAATTCAAAGGAAGATAGGAATTCCTTATAAACTAAGGAATTGTTTAGGAATTGCTTAAGGAATTGTTTGTAATTGTTTCATTCCATTAGGAATATCTCTAGTCCAAAATCATGAAATATATCAAATTCAAGTAAATAAATTTTGATTGACTTAGTCTTGGGATTAGTGTTTAAATAATAAATAAAATGAAGACCTTTTTAGTTGGTGTTCTAGCCTTCTTATTTTATATTTGTATTTCAGTACAAATATACAGTTTTTTTTTTTTTTTGAAAACTGGTTATACAGAAGCCCCCTCTTTGAACCAAGAATACCTGTGGATCAAAAATTCTTGCTTCCCTCCTGAGTGATCAGCAAGCTGGGAGGACATTTCTCAGAGGCCACCAGCTCTGTCCTTGTCTCAGAAAATAGACACTGCTTATTTTGCTTAGCATACTGTGCCTGCTGTAACACAGAGTGAGGCTGTAGGATAGGGCAGAAAATGTTTTGTTTTATTCCTGTGGAAATAATAGATTTTTTTCCTCAAAATTTTTTATTTTAGTGTTGATGTCTGAGCTGAGTTTAGGGAACATTGATTCAAGGCTGTTCAAAAGAATTTGAAAATGAAGATATGGAGGAAGTGTGAGGGCTTTGTTTGGGATAAAGTAGCCCATGGATTCTCTTCTCTTTCTTAATGATGTAGAGACCATTGGGTTATACATTATATTTGAATCCTAAACTTCTAAATGTTCAACCAGGGGTGGTGGTGATCTGGTGAGTCAGTGGGATTACTTTGAGGGCATGATTATTTAACTATGCATGGATAGGATGATTGGTGAATGAAAGTAAAGAAGCACATCTCACAAACAAAATCTAAACAAAACACAACAAACTCATTAAATATAGTTATAACTAATTCTAGGTAAGAGAAGCACTTAAAAGATGCCATCCAATTCCTTTGAAAGCTATTCAGTGGAAAGTAATCTAATCGTGACAGTTCTTTCTTGGGGTGCCCCTGATACTTAGTACTCTGAAATTCAATAGGAAATGGTTTTCTTATTTGCATCCTTGTTCTTAAAAGCTTTCTTTGGATTTTAGGCAATGCAGTATGGCTTCCTTAATTTCAACTCATTTAACCTTGATGAATATGAACACTATGAAGTAAGTTTTCAAGGATCATATTTTTCAACTCTTCCACCTCCCCCCCGCCCGCCGCTTTATTGTTGGGAATAATTGACAAATAAAACTTACATATACTTAAGATGTACAAAGTAATGTTTTGAAATATGTATACACTATGAAATGATTACCTAATCAAGCTAGTTAACATACTCATCACCTCACATAATTTAGTCTTCTGGTATGTGTGATGAGAATACCTGAGCTGTACTCTTGCAGATTTCAGGCACATAGTACATACATTAGATCTCCAGAATTTACTCATCCTCTGATGCTTTGTATTCTGACCAAAATTTCTCTGCCTGTTTTAAATTTTTGTTTTTAAATTAAGAGACAGAGAGAGAGAGACAGACCAAGTCGCTCTGTTACCTAGGCTGAAGTGCAGTGGTGTACATGGCTCACTGCAGCCTTGAACTTCTGGGCTCAAATGATCTCTCTCCTCAGCCTTCCAAGTAACTGGAACCACAGGTGCATACCACCATGCTAGCTAAGTTTTTAATCTTTATTTTTGTAGAGACAGGGTTTCACTTTGTTGCCCAGGCTAGACTTGAACTCCTGACCTTAAGCACTTCTCCTGCCTTGGCCTCCCAAAGTGCTAGGATTACAGACATGTGCCACTATGCATGGCCCTGTTTTTAGCTTTCTTATTTATTTCACTTACAGAAGAAGCAATATTCTTGTTTTGTTTTATATGTGTATAGAGTGAAAAAAAGTCAAGTATTCATCTTTTTATCCCTATTTCTCCAGTCCCAATTCTTAGTGGGAATTTCTGTATTTAATGCACAATTCCAGAGTGAGTGAGTTTGCCCATGTGTGTTCTTTAAACTGTTTAGTTTAAATGTATTTTAGTATTGTCATACAGTGATTGAGTTGTTTATAACCTAAACATAGAGTTTGATGTTTAAATTAACATAGAGTATGATGAGATGAATTGTCATTATATACCTAATTATCTCTGGAAAATACCTTTGTTTTTGCCATAACAGTCTGTTTGTCAGGACACTTCTGGTTGCAAGTTATAGAAAGTAAACACAAACAGCTTAAATAAAAAATGAAACATTTTCCAGGCACAGTGGCTCATGCCTGTAATCCTAGCACTTTGGGAAGCTGTGGCAATCAGATTGTCTGAGCTCAAGAGTTCGAAACCAGCCTGGGCAACATGGTGCAACCCCATCTCTACTAAAATACAAAAAATTCACCAGGTGTGGTAGTGCATACCTGTAATCCCAGCTACTCAGGAGGCTAAGGTGGGAGAATTGCTTGAACCCGTGAGGCAGAGGTTGCAGCAAGCTGAGATCACCCCACTGCACTCCAGCCTGGGCAATCAGCCAGAGCAAGACCCTGTCTCAAATTTTCAAAGAAGGGTGGAATTTATTGGATTACATAAATTAAAAATCCAGGATCAGGTTTGGCTTTTAGCATGCCCCTTCAGGTGCTCAGACACTTACCAGAAATTGGACTTGAAACTAGTATTGTTTCTTCTCAGGCCAGCCCTCTCCAGCAGTGATGAAGATGGCCACCAACAAATGGTCAGAAAAATGTAATCTTAGCTCCATCAGAAGGCCTGGGAATGCCTCTCACTGGCCTGACTTATACCATATGCCCATCTCTGCAATGGCCTGTGTTCTTTGGCAGGGAAGGGCTAAGGAATACTCTGGCCAGTCTTTGTTCTCTGGCCATCCCAGGAACCTGGGGAATGGGGTCAGCCCCATCAAACTAGTCAAACAAACAAAAAAATTTTTCTAACAGTTTTATTTTTCTTTCTTTTTTTGAGACAGGGTCTCGCTCTATTGCCCAGGCTAGAGTGCAGTGGTGCCATCTTGTCTCACTGCAATCTCAACCTCCTGGGTTCAAGTGATCCTCCCACCTCAGCCTCCCAGTAGCTGGGACTACAGGCGTGTGCCACCATGCCTGGCTAATTTTTTTATTTTTTAATTTTTTGCAGAGATGGGGTTTCGCCATGTTGCCCAGGTTGGTCGCAAAGTCCTGAGCTCAAGGGATCTGCCTGCCTCAGCCTCCCAAAGTGCTAGGATTATAGGTGTGAGCCATCACCCCTAGCCACACAAAATTTTTAAGAGGGTAGGACAGGATCAGGAAAAGATAAGCCAGGCAAAACCACAGGTGTGTTCTATGTTCCTTAACATAGTATGTATTTTTTAAAAGAATAATTTGATTCTACAGCTTCATCCTCCATATTAGGGAATGAGTAAGATGCTGTGCTAAAGGCCTTTCCAGCCCAGGGCAGTTGTAGCCTCCTGTCTTCTTACCCTCCTATAGTTACCTTGAGCAGACTTGCTCTCCAGCATTGGGGAGGCAATTCCTCAAACAGCAGCGCTTCATGTGGCTGCATCTTGTGAATCCTCAGAGAACTCTTTTTGCACAATGTCTAAAGTAAATATTCTTTCAAACTCAGTATAACTCAACTGTTTTTTACTATTTCAGTTAATAATGACACAGTTGTTACTGTGATGCAGCAAAGATTGAGTACATTGCAGGGTTCATTAGGGCCAACCCTGTCTTTACTTCTCTGATAGCTGTCCATTTCTAAAGTATAACATAAGTTTAACTAGCATCTTAAACTTACAGAGTATAGCTAAATGATTAACACCGTTTTTGTGCTTCTCTTTAAAACACTAAACATTTGAAACAAGTTACTTTGTCTAGGTAAGCAAAACTGCTAAAATCACTAGTCGGTATTTGTTCCTTTTGCAGTGCGGTGATGCCCCCCCCCCCTTTTTGGCTACGCTTGTCTTTTGTTTTTTTTAGTTTATTTATTTTACTTTAGGTGCATACTATATCTGGCATTTCTCCCCATGTTTTCCCTCCCCACTCCCCACTGTCTCTCCCCTACCCCCACCAACTGCCCCAATGTGTGATGCTTCTCTCCCTGAGTCCACGTGTTCTCATTGTTGAATACCCACCTATGAGTGAGAACATGCGGTGTTTGGCTTTCTGTTCTTGTGTCAGTTTGCTGAGAATGATGGTTTCCAGATTCATTCAAGTCCCTACAAAGGACACGAACTCATCATTTTTTGTGGTGATGCCTTTGTGTGCTATTAATGCATAATATAGGCACTAAGTAACTCCCCTCTGACTACTGTAGAGATTGGAGAGTCTGGGCTGGGGGAGTAAGTATCAAGGGCACACCACAAACGTTTTCACCTCCCTGAAGCTACGTGGTGATACAGCGAGCTGTTTAGGTTCCCAGACTCCAGTTTTGTAGAGTATATAGTGTGTTTAGAAATTTGGGATTAGTGTCTTCCATTTTATATAGTGTGCATTTTTTCCCTGTTTCAGCTTCTCCAAATTCAGAATGTATCTTAATTTATGGCATCAGCAATTCAGTAAAATCTAGTTTTTGCCAACAATTGATCATGGATTTCTTATTTAAAAGTCCACATTTCTAATTTGACATTAAAATCAGAATATCTGGCAACAGCTGCCTTCATTCCTGTTTAAACCTTTTTTTTTTTTTTTAAAGAGATAGGGTCTCACTGTGTTGCCCACGCTGGATTCAAATTCCTGGGCTTTAGTGATGCTCCCGCCTCAGCCTCCCAAGTAGCTATAAGTGTGTGCCACCACACCCGGCTGCTTAGACATTTGTGTTATGGAACATAGGCTGACCCATTCCCCTTATTGATCATTAAGTTTGATAAACTGGTTTGAGGTTACCTCTCTGGTCCCTGTAGATATTCAAGAAGCTCTGTTATTTCTTTTTTCTTTTTCTTTTTTTTTTTTGAGATGGAGTCTTGCTCTGTCACCCAGGCTGGGGTGCAGTGGTGCAATCTCAGCTCTGCCTTCTGGGTTAAAAGATTCTCCTGCTTCAGCCTCCTGAGTAGCTGGGATTACAGGCCTGTGCCACCATGCCTGGCTAATTTTTGTATTTTTAGTAGAGACTGCGTTTCACCATGTTGGTCAGGCTGGTCTTGAACTCCTGACCTCATGATCCGCCCACCTCAGCCTCCCAAAGTGCTGGGATTACAGGCATGAGCCACCGGGCCTGGCCAAATCTCTGTTATTTCTTACTAATTTTTAGGTACATATAGAAACACCCCAGTGACAAAGCTAATTTATCTGTTGTTGTTTTTAATCACGAGTTCTCTCCTTCTCCACTATCAAGTCTCTTCTACTTCCTGTTAAGTCTCTGTTGTCTTAAGAGATAAGTTTCTATTATTGTTATTAAGAGGTAAGTTTCTCTTGTTAAATTTGAACTGTATCTATGTTATAATAGTAAAGGTAACTCAATCCAAAGGACCTAATAATAGGAAGTAATGTGTCTTATATATGTATGATGCATACATAGAATACACATCAGTTTGTATTCGTTTTTTGTAGGGACATACTGTGGTCTCAGTATATTTGTAATTCTGAGTTTCCTAGTGGATTTAGTGAACTTTTTCTTTTTGAGATGGCGTTTCACTCTTGTTGCCCAGGCTGGAGTGCAATGGCACGATCTCAGCTTACCACAACCTCCACCTCCCGGGCTCAAGTGATTCTTCTGCCTCAGCCTCCTGAATAGCTGGGATTACAGGCATGCACCACCACACCTGCTAATTTTGTATTTTTTAGTAGAGGTGGGGTTTCTCCATCTTGGTCAGGCTGGTTATCAACAAGTAAACTTATTTAATTGGTTGTCTTATTAAATAGTTAGAAAAATAGTGGAAAGATATACCTCTTTGCGGTTGGTAAGTAAGTAAATAATGGGAAGCCAGAAACCTAAATAGATAGTTTTCCCCCCTTTGTTCGTGGAGTCAGGATTGCTCATGTTGGAAACCAGTCATTCAGGAAAGTTCCCAGATTCCTTATACTGGAAAAGTTTGTTTGCTTTCTTAATTAGCAGCAACTATAATGAGAATTGATTCAGATAAAATAACCAAGTAGTTAGTATATTTGTATGGCAGCAGTCAGTTCTGTATTCCAAGAATTGATACCCTAGCAATGAAACACTGTTAAAAGAAGGTGATTAGAATTAGGATATATATCCATTCTCTGGATATACTCATAGCAGGACAAATTAAGATTCCTGTCTCATGACAATTTGTAAACAGCTTTTCTGCCAAAGCGAATGGATTTGAAGTCCTTCAGAGACTCAGTCTTGAGTAGAGAGGTTGTGGGGAGATCACGTTTAAAAATGAATTGTGCTGGCCTTCCCCTGCAGAAAGCAGAAAATGGAGATTTAAATTGGATAATACCAGACCGATTTATTGCCTTCTGTGGACCTCATTCAAGATCCAGACTTGAAAGTGGTATGTGAAATTAATGGCATCAATCTCATTGTGTTATTGAAAATATCTATCCAGTATTTTCTTTTGAAAGTGTTACACCAAGCTTGACCAAGTCTTAATTATTTAAGCGTACTTGGTCATTTCAGTACATCATTCTGACTGGATTTTAACTTTCTTTTCATTTTGTTGTTTACAGTTATAATCAAATTGGAATTTAATTCCCAGTCCAGATACTGTTTCCACTCAATTACAGGTGAAACTATTAGCTGTTGTTTTCTTCATGCGTTTTACAAGATCTGGTACATTTCTTTATGTAGGTTACCACCAACATTCTCCCGATACTTATATTCAATATTTTAAGAATCACAATGTTACTACCATTATTCGTCTGAATAAAAGGATGTATGATGCCAAACGCTTTACGGATGCTGGCTTTGATCACCATGATCTTTTCTTTGCGGATGGTAGTACCCCTGCTGATGCCATTGTCAAAGAATTTCTGGATATCTGTGAAAATGCTGAGGGTGCCATTGCAGTACATTGTAAAGGTATGTTTTTAAGGGAGATTCAAGAATAGTATTCATGTCTGAGTATATAAATATGTAGAGACAGAACATTTTTATTTAATGTGTCAGAATATGAAACTGTCTATTTTTAGAGTGCCTTTAAACCTTTAATTGCATATGAAAAGTATAGTAAATTAAATTATTTTCATAAGTAATTCTACAAAGACTCATCACATTGAAATGCATTTATTTATTCATCAAATATTTATTGGGTGCATACTATATAGTTAAGTTCTAGGATACATCAATGAGTAGCATAGACTGTAAGAGCCTGTCTTTATGGAGACTATATTCTTAACAAGTTGCTCTGTTTTCAGCAATTATACAGTACCTGACACTTAATAGATCTTTTTCAGTAAATGAACGACTGTATAATAATACATGGTATAAATGTAGTAGGATTTATTTAACGCTCTTCTTTTGTTAGTTAATTAAGAAACAAGGAATATAGTTTTGTTACAAAAATCCAATATTGAAAAGAAGCTCAGCAAGCCCTGGGGAAAGTGGGAGACTCATCTCTAGAGTTACTGCTGTATTTGTACTTTTAAATATAATGGCAAGACGTAATCCTCACATGTTCAGTTTTTACTGAAGAATCACAAGGCATACAAAGAAACAGGAAAGTATAGCCTATTCAAAGGGAAGAAATAAATCCAGGCCAGGCACAGTGACTCACACCTGTAATCCCACCCAGCACTTTGGGCATCGAGGTGGGCAGATCAACTAAGGTCAGGAGTTTGAGACCAGCCTGGCCAACATGGTGAAACCCCATTAACAAAAAAATTAGCCAGTATGGTGACAGATGCCTATAATGCCAGTTACTCTGGAGGCTAAGACATGAGAATCACTTGAACCTTGGGAGGTGGAGGTTGCATTGAGCCAAGATAGCACCACTGTACTCCAGACTTGGTGACAGACAGAAAAAAAAAAGGAAGAAGAAGAAGTAATCCACAGAAGCTGTCCCTGAGAAAGAACAGATTGTGTACTTAGTAGGCAAAAAATTTTAAATAGCCATCTTAAAGATGCCCAGAGAGTTAAAAGAAAATGTTGGAAAAGTCAAGGAAATGATCTATGAACAAAATGCTAATATCAGTTATAAAAAGACAGAATACAAAAAGGGAACCAAAAAGAAATTCTGGAGATGAAATATACCATAACTAAGATGAAAATTTTACCGGAGGGATTCAAAAGCATATTTGAGCAGGCAGAAGAATCGAGTGTGAAGCTAGAACTATTAAAAAATTAGCAAGTCTGGGGAACAGAAATAATAAAGATTATAAGAGAAATGAATAGACTCTAAGGGACCTCTGAGTCACAGTCAAGTAGACCAAGATACAGATCCTGGGAGTTCCAAAAGGGGAAGAGAAATGAAGGAACAGACATGATTTGGCTGAAAACTCCCCACATTTGCTGAACAGCATGTATATTCATATCCAATTCACTCAACAAATTCTAAGCAGGATAAACTCAGAGGCCCACGTGAACATGCATTATAATCAGGCTATAATGCTGGAGACAGAGTCTTGAAAGCAGCAGGAGAGAAGTGACTCGCTGCATACAGGGGATACCACTGAGATTGTAAGCAGATCTCTCTTTGGAAACTTTTGAGGCCAGAAGGCAGTGGGTTGATATATTCAGAATGCGTAAGTGGGGAAAACCTGTTAAGAATTCTACATTTGGCAAACTTTCTTCAAAAATAATTGAGAAATTAACACTTTTCCAGGCAATCAATTTGCCTTTGTAATAAAGTCAAATACACGGAGCATTATAAAAGCTAGTATTTTTGTAACAAGATAATTTGTAAAATATTATTAGTGTAACTTGCAATTATTATAACGTGCAAAGAAGAAATAGAAAATCTAAATAGACCCCTAACTAGTAAAGGATTAAGTAATCCAGAACTCAACAAAGCAAAACCTTGGACATGATAGTGTCATCAGAAAATTCTATGAAACACTTAAAAGAGAGTTTTTAATCACTAGATCTGACCTGTAAGAAATGCTAAAGGGAGTATTTTAGGTTGAAATGAAAGCACAGCAGACAGTAACACACAGCCATTTGAGAAGAGGAAGTAAAGATTCTGATAAAAGCAAATACATGAACCATTATAAAAGCTAGTATTATGGTAACGATATTTTGTAAAATATTATTACTGTAACGTGCTTATTGTAACTTACAAATATAATATGTAAGTTATAATTTGTAGTTTGTAAGTAGTATAAGATGTTAATTATTTTAATTTGTAAAATAGAGTATAGAGAACCAATACAGAAAATCAACAAAACCAAGGGTTCATTCTTTAAGAAGATTAACAAAAATGATAAACCTTTAGCTAGAATGATGAAGTAAAAAAGCAAGAAGACTCCAATTATTAAAATTAGAAATGAAAATGGCATCACTACTGATATTACAGAAATAAAAATGATCAGTACTGGGAACCATTATAGGACAATGAATTGGAATAATCTACACGAAATGAACCAATTCCTAGAAAAACAAAACATATCAGAACTAAATCACGAAGAAATAGAAAATCTGAACAGACCCCTAACTATTAAGGAGGTTAAGTAATCCAAAACCTTCAGAGATAGCGAAACCTTGGACATGATAACATCACCAGTAAATTCTGTGAAAAACTTAAAAGACTAAAACCAAACTCTCAAACTCCTCCTCAAACTCTTCCAAAAATTTGAGGAAAAAGAAACACTTTCTAACTCAGTAAGGCCAGCATTACCCTGACACCAAAAACAAAGATACTATAAGAAAATTATAGGCCAGTATCCCTTAATGAACATTGATGCAAAAATCTTGAACAAAAATACTAGCCAATGGAATTCAGCAGCATATTTAAAAGGATTGTGTACCAATACCAAGTGGGATTTATCCCATGATTACAAGAAGAGTGGTTCAACATATGAAAATCAATCAATGTAATACACCACATTAAGGACAAAAACCACATAATCATCTTAGTGCACAAGAAGCATTTGACAAATGTCAGTACCCTTTTGTGGTAAAAACACGGTACAAATTAGGTATAGAAGGAGAGTATCTCAACATAAGAACCATACGTGAAAAGCCCACAGCTAACATACTCAGAGGTGAAAGACTGAAAGCTTTTTCTCTAAGCTCAGGAAGAAGACAAAGATGCTTGGCTTTGTAGCTTCTATTTAACATGATAATGGAAGTTCTAGCCAGAGCAAGTAAGCAAAGAAAGAAAAGACATGGAAATTGGACAGGAAGAAGTAAAATTATCTGTTTGCAGATGATATGATTTATATGTATTATAGAAAACGTTGGGTCGGCCACAGTGACTTATGCCTGTAATCTTAGCACTTTGGGAGCTGGCTCACACCTGTAATTTTGTCCATTTCATGTAATCCTAGCACCGATGCGAGTGGATTGCCTGAGCTCAGGGGGTCGAGACTAGCCAGGGTAACATAGTGAAACCCCATCTCTACTAAAATACAAAAAACAAAAAATTATCCAGGCATGGCAGTGTGTGTTTGTAGTCCCAGCTACTCAGGAGGCTGAGGCAGGAGAATTGCTTAAATCTGGGAGGTGAAGGTCGCAGTGAGCTGAGATTGCACCACTGCACTGTAGCCTGGGTGACAGAGCGAGACTCCATCTCCAAAAAGAAAAAAAAGAAAACCCTAGAGATTGCACACACACCCCTCAGCCTCTGCTAGAATTAATAAATGAGTTCAGCAAAGTAGCAGGATACAAAATCAACAGGCAAAAATCACTTGTTTCTATGCCCTCACAATGAAAATCTTATTGATAAAGAAACTAAGAATACAATTTCATTTATAATAGCATCAAGAAGAATCAAATATTGGGTAATTAACCAAGGAGATGAAAAAAATTGTATAAACATTTTTGTGAGAAATTAAGAAGACATAATTAAATGTAATGATATCACATTTGTGGACTGGGTGACTTAATATTGTTAACATGTCAGTATTGCCCAAAGAGATACAGAGATTCAGTGCAAGCCTGTGAAAATTTCAACCTTTCTTGCAAAAATAGAAAAATTATTCTGAAATTCATTTGGAATCTCAAGGGATGCCAAATGGCCAAAACAATCTTGAAAAAGAATAAAAAGGTTGAAGGACTCACTTCCTGGTTTCAAAACTTCATACAGGCTGGGCATGGTAGCTCAACACATGTAATCCCAGTACTTTAGGAGGCTGAGGCAGGAGGATTGCTTGAGCCCAGGAGTTTAAGAGCACCCTGGACAACATGGCAAAACCCCATCTCTCCTAAATAATACAAGAATTAACTGGGTGTAGCGATGTGCACCCATAGCTCCAGCTACTTGGGAAGCTTAGGTGGGAGGATTTCTTCAGCCTGGGAGCTCAAGGCTGCCATGAGCCATGATTGTACCACTGCACTCCAGCCTGGGCAACATAGCAAGACCCTATCTCAAAAAAAAAAAAAAAAAGTCTTAACACAAAGCTACATCAGTCAAGATATTGTGGTACTGGCAAAAAGACAGATACATAGACCAGTGAAATAGAATAGAGAGCTCAGAAATAAATCCTTGTGCGTATGGTCAAATGACATTCAAGAAGGGTACAGAAACCACTCAATGGGGAAAGGACGGCCTTTTCAACAAATGGTACTGCTGGGAAAACCTGATATGTGCATGTAAAGGAATGAAATTGGACCCTTACATAACACCATATACAAAAAGTAACTCAAAATGAACCAAGGACCTAAATATAGGACCTAAAACTGTAAAACTCTTAGAAGAAAACAGAGGGTGAAAACATCATGACATTAGATTCGGCAGTGATATGACACCAAAGGCATTGACAATGAAAGAACAAACAAATTGGACTATGGAAAACTTTTAAACTTTTGTGCATCAAAGTATGCTATCAGCAGAGAAACAAGGTAACCCGTGGATTGGGAGAAAATCTTTGCAAATCACATCTGATAAGGGATTAATATCCAGAAGATGTAGAGAAAACTAACAACAACAAAACCCAGTTAATAATGGGAAAAGGACTTGAATAGACATTTTTCCAAAGATATAAAATGGCCAATAAGCACATGAAAGGTTCTCAGTGTTACTGACTTACAGGGAAAGTCAAATTACAACCACAATGAGATACCACTTTACACCCATTGGGATGGCTGTTATCTAAAAGAACAAAGACACCATGACCAGAAAATTACAAATGTTGGTGAATATCTGGAGAAATTAAAACCCTTGTGTACTGCTACTGGGAATATAAAACAATGCAGCTGCTTTGGAAAATGGTGTGTCAGTTCCTGAGAAACTTAAAATTACATGATTCAGCGATTCTACCTCTGGTTATATGCCCAGAAGGAATTGACAGCAGGGATATAAAATGTTTACATGTTACAACCATGTTTATAGTAGCATTATTCTTTTCTCTTTTTCTTTTCTTTTTTTCGAGATGACATTTCACTCATTGCTTAGGCTGGAGTGCAGTGATGCAATCTCAGCTCACCGCAACCGCCACCTCCTGGGTTGAAATGATTCTCCTGCCTCAGCCTCCAGAGTAGGTGAGATGATAGCATGTGTTACCACGCCCAGCTAATTTTTGTATTTTTAGTAGAAACACGGTTTCACCGTGTTGGCCAGGCTGGTCTTGAATTCCTGACCTCAAGTCGTCCACCTGCCTCGGCCTCCCAAACTGCCAGTATTATAGGTATGAGCCACCATGCCCAGCCAGGAGCATTATTCTTAGCCAAAATGTGGAAGCAATCCAGATGTCCATCAGAGGAAGGCTAAAGAAATGGCTAACAGAATATTATGCATCCTTAGAAATGAAGAAAATTCTGACACATGCTGCAACATGGATGAACCTTAAAGATATTATGCCAGCTTAGGTCTGCTAGTCAGAAAAGGACAGGTATTGTATGATTCCACTTGTATGAGATACTTGGAGTAAGAGAAAGTAAAATGGTGCTTGCCAGGGCCTGAGAAGAGGTGGGGATTGGTATTGTTTAACGGGTCCAGAGTTGCCATTTTGCAAGATGAAATATGTTCTGAAGATGGATGGTAGTAATATTTACAGAAGAGTGTGAATGCGCCGGGTGCGGTGGCTCACGCCTATAATCCCAGCACTTTGGGAGGCCGAGGCGGGTGGATCACGAGGTCAAGAGATCGAGACCATCCTGGTCAACAAGGTGAAACCCCATCTCTACTAAAAATACAAAAATTAGCTGGGCATGGTGATGTGCACCTGTAATCCCAGCTACTCGGGAGACTGAGGCAAGAGAATTGCTTGAACCCAGGAGGTGGAGGTTGCGGTGAGCCGAGATCGTGCCATTGCACTCCAGTCTGGGTAACAACAGCGAAACTTCGTCTCAAAAAAAAAAAAAGAGTGTGAATGCACTTAATGCTACTGAACTGTACATATAAAAAATGGTTAAAGTGATCTTCAGAAGCTGACACTAACGAATGTAAGTTTCGGAATTAACTGATGCAGAATTTAAAATAACTGTGTCTTAAACATGTTCAGTGAGCTAAAAGATAATTCAGACAACTAAATGAAATCAGGGAAATGATACATGAAGAAAAATGATAAATTTTATGTTATGTATATTTTACTCCAATTTTTAAAAATAATAGAAACAATCCAACATTGATTATTTCATGTTTTAATTATAAAAAGCAGTTGATCTGGACATGGTGGCTCACACCTGTAATCCCAGCACTTTGGAAAACGGAGGCAGGTGGATCGCGAGGTCAGGAGATTGAGACCATCCCGGCTAACACAATGAAACCCCATCTCTACTAAAAATAGAAAAAATTAGCCAGGCATGGTGGCACACACCTGTAGTCCCAGCTACTTGGGAGGCTGAGGCAGGAAAATCACTTGAACCTGTGTTGCAGAGGTTGCAGTGAGTCAGGATTCCACCACCACACTCCTTCCTGGGCCACGGAGTAAGACTCCATCTCAAAATGAAAAGCAGTTGGAGTTATTCTTTACTAGGGTCCTTTTGCCCCCCAACCCCACCACACACCCAACATTTGGCAATGTGTGAAGACCTTTTTTGGGGGTTGGGTACTACTGGCATCTGGTAGGTAGAGATCAGGGATGCTGCTAAACATCCTACAGTGCACAGGATAGCCCCCCACTATAAAGAATTGTCCAGCCTCAAATGTCATTTCTGCCGAAGTTGAGATACCCTGAAATAGACTGATGACCAACTAAAAGCCTAGAGAGGACTTTATATGATTGCATCTTTGTTTAGGGAAGAAAAATGATGACAGTATGAAAATTGGGTTGTACAGTAAAAGTTGAGATTTATTAAGAGGTATATTAATCTGCTGGGACATACCACCAACTGGGTGGCTTAAACAACAGAAAGAAGTTCATTTTCTCACAGTTCTGGAGGCTGGAAGTCCAATGTCAAAGCACCAGCAGGGTTGTTTTCTGGGGAGGCCTCTCCTTGGCTTGCAGATGGCTGCCGTCTCTGAGTCCTCTCATGGTTTGTCCTCTGTGTGCACTTAGTTCTGCCGTCTCTTTCTTTTCTTAGAAGTACTCCAGTACTGTTGGATTAGGGCCCCACTCTGTGTCCTTACTTATTTCTATAAAGGCCTAATCTCCAAATACAGTTGTTTTGGGAGTTAGAACAACATATGGATTTGGGGTGGGGAGGGACACAATTCAGTTCATTATATTCTGCCCTATGGCCCCCAACAAATGTATGTCTCTTCACTTCAAAAATACATTCACTGTATCTCAACAGCTCCGAAAGTCTCAACTCATTCTAGCATGAACTCCAAGTTCAGAGTCTCATCTAAATAGCATCAACTCAAATATAGGGGAGACTTGAGTTGGGATCCATCCTGAGACAATTCCTCCCAGCTGTGATGGTGCGGGCATAGGATAGACATTCCCATTCCAAAAGGGAGAAACCAGAAGAAAGAAGTTACAACTTCTAAGCAAGTCCAAAACCTAGCCAGGCAAATACCATTACCTCTTAAGGCTAAAGAATCATCCTCTTTGGCTCCACAATCTTCCCTCAAGTCCCTCTAGGGTTGCGGCTTTGCCCCTAAGGGCTGTGGCCAGAGGCAGTCCCTCTAGGGTTGCGGCTTTGCCCCTAAGGGCTGTGGCCAGAGGCAGCTGGGTTCACCGTAGCTAATAAAAGAGGCCCTACCCTGTGAAATCAAGGAGTAGACATGCTTGCCCTGAGTTTATATACTCTGTCTTCGTGGCAGTGGCAGCACTGACGGTCTCTGAATTGCCCTTGGAGTCATCCTTTCTTTTCTTGAAGGACTGAGAATGTTTACACCCAGGTAGCTCTGCTGTCAGAAGTCCAAAAGTCTTACTTTATTTTATTCCACGTCCATCCCCTTTAGTCCAAGCTGCCAGTGCCTCTGCTGGAATAATCCTGTCTCTCTTCCCAGGCTTCTGCTGAGATGGCAATTTTTCTCTCTGTAACATGCTTTCTCATTTTTGGTAATATGGATAGCCTGAGAATTTTCTGACTCTAGTTCCTGATTCCCTGTTACTTAACAATTTTTTCTTTAACTCATCTTACTTTTTTTGCATTTTACTGTAACCAATAAGGAGAAACTAGATTGTATCTTCAACACTTTCCTTACAAATCTCCTCTGCTAAATATCCAAGGTTGTCACTCAAAAAACTACTTCTCCATTTCTATGTAGTTGTTACAGTGACACCCACCTCATGATCCAAATCTGTATTATTTAGGGTTTCCAGAAAAACAAAACCAGTATCATGCTTTTTTATATGTAGGATATTTATTAAAAGGAATTGGTTCATCCAATTATGGATTCTGGTGAGTTGAAAATACGCAGTGTGGGCCAGCAGCCTGGAGACACGGGAGAGCTGATGGTGCAGATGAAAGCCAGAGGCAGTCTCTTGCTCAGGAAAGTCAATACTTTTGTTCTGCCCAGGTTTTTAGCTGATTAGATGAGGCCCAGCACATTATGGAGGGCACTGTATTTACTGAAATCTCACCAACTTAAATGTTAGTCTCCAAAGATTCATTCCAGATTGACACATAAAATTAACCATCACTAGAGGTAATAATAATAGTCTAGATAAGACAGGCCAGCATCAATAGAGTTTTTAAAAAATCTGAGTGAAAATGGATATAACAGAAATAATTGGATGTGGGAATAAGTGCAAAACTGCAAGACTTTTCTTTTGCAAAGATGGTGGTACCAGTTTTTCTAAAATGCCCAGGGCAGAAGACACTGCCTTTACTGAGATAATTGCTTAAAAAGGGATTCTCCACCTTGGCAACACGTAGAATCATCTGGAGGATTTTAGGAATCTCTGTGTCCAAGCCATGCTGCACACGAGTTGAATCTAAATTCTGGGTGTAAGGCCGGGCCAGGTGGCTCTAGCCTATAGTCTCAGCATTTTGGGAGGTCGAAGTGGAATTTCCCTTAGTCTACAGCATTTTGGGAGATCAAGGAAGGTAGATCACCTGAAGTCAGGAATTTGAGACCAGCCTGGCCAACATGATGAAACCCCATCTCTACTAAAAATACAAATATTAACCGGGCATGGGCACATGCCTGTTTGCAGAGACATGGATGAAACTGGAAACTATCATTCTTAGCAAACTAACACAGGAACAGAAAACCAAACACCACATGTTCTCACTCTTAAGTGGGAGGAGAATATCACACACTGGGACCTGTCGGGGGTATGGATGATGGATTGATGGGGGCAGCAAACTACTATGGCACGTGTATACCTATTTAACAAACCTGCATATTCTATACATGTATCTCAGAACTTAAAGTATAATAATGAAAGAAAAACATTCTACATGCCCAACAAAGTCCTGGAGTAATTGAGCCCGAGTTTCATTTCTGTGCTTCTTCTGTGCTTCTTTTTTTTCCTAGCTGGCCTTGGTCGCACGGGCACTCTAATAGCCTGCTACATCATGAAGCATTACAGGATGACAGCAGCCGAGACCATTGCGTGGGTCAGGATCTGCAGACCTGGTTCAGTGATTGGGCCTCAGCAGCAGTTTTTGGTGATGTAAGTAGTAGCGTCTGTAGTTCCAAGGGAACTCGTGGGGCTGGAAGCTCGTCACCATGCCCAGCGAGTGGAATTTCTCTTAGTCTCCAGTAACAACAGCTTGTCTAGTAGGAAGAAATTGTTCATGTGTCTTTCTGGAAAGCTCTATTGATGTTATTTAAATGCTCTAGGAAGCAAACAAGCCTCTGGCTGGAAGGGGACTATTTTCGTCAGAAGTTAAGGGGGCAGGAGAATGGACAGCACGGAGCAGCCTTCTCCAGACTTCTCTCTGGTGTTGATGATATTTCCATAAATGGGGTCAAGAATCAAGACCAGCAAGAACCTGAACTGGTAATCAAGCCATTTCTGTCACGATGTTGTTATTGCTTTAACTGCTGTTGAGACCCTGTCAGGGCATAAAGAAAACTGGAGGTAAAATAATAAAGCAGCTCTTGAGGGATGATTGTCACTTTTTATATTTATGACCCTCTCCAGGCACTTTTTACCCAAAATAGTGGAAACAAGGTTGTATATTCATAAAACTATGTTTTATTCACTCGGCAGTTGCATAAAAGGTTGTGAAGTGAGCTCTTTAGCCAGATCTACCCCTGCCCCCATCCCTTTTTTGCCATTTCACGACCGCTGATTTAGGAAAGCAGTCATTCTCAAATGGAGAGCTTTTAACAAATCAAGGGCTTAGAGGGTAGCAGTACTACATTAAGTGGTAGTAAGTAGACTGTGAGATGTTAAAAATAATGTTTTCAGACTTGAAAGCCCATTATCCCTCTTCACTGTTGATGTGTTTTATAATGAGAATGCTGCTGGGTTGTCTACGAAAGTCAGCTTGGGCTGTCTTAAAATGTGCTCTGTACCCGGATTGTGAAAGGGGAAAAATATTTTAGAGTTTGCAGAAACTTGGACTTGTCTGTCTCTGTTTATGTGGCTAAACTGCTGCGGTGCTTTACTGCATTAATAAATGCAAGTTAAATCATTAGTTCAGTTTCTTTTTTTACTTACACAGTACAGTGATGATGACGAAATCAATGGAGTGACACAAGGCGATAGACTTCGGGCCCTGAAAAGCAGAAGACAATCAAAAACAAACGCTATTCCTCTCACGTGAGTCTGAGTTCCTTTGTTGTGGTTGACGTTTTTTCATAGGTGTATGGGGTCCTTGGTGAGGGCTTTTCCTGTACATTTTTCTCCATAGTTGCAAGCCCATGATGCCACTTTGAAGTGCTTGCCTATGTTATTTAAAACCTAGGAGTGCTGGCCTTGGAAGCTCTCAGCTGTCCCTTGTTTACCTTCGTCCTCTTGAGCCTTTATAGGAGGGAAGGCGACATTAGGGATGCTTTTTCTCCATGAATAATAAGCATGGGGCATCCTCAAGAGTGTGACAGCAGATGTAAAGCCCAGGATGCCAGACGTGTCCATAGTTACTAAAGTGGTGGAGTGCTTTACATTCACCATGTTGCAGATCATTTGTTTTGATCAGCATGACATAATGGCTTAATGACATTATGTTGTTTTGGGGTGACAATGAGCTGGTCTAAACTAAACTTTGGGTTTTTCATTTGTTTCTTTGGGGAATTATTTTCTAATTATGGAGGAAGATTTAGCTGAGAATAGGAAATGTTGTAGTTACTGAGTGTGTATATGTCAATGTGTACATTCTTATGAATATGTGTTAGTTGAGATTCAACATGATGGAGTATCCAAGATTGTTAGAAAAATATGCAGAAGCAAACTACATGACCATGGCATTATTTGTAGGCTGTTCTTTAGCAGATGCTCCCACTTGCTGCCATTGGATTTCTTCCTTGTAGTTACTTCCTTTCTCATTGTAGGGTACCAGATTTCCAACTTTCTTTTTGTGGGGGAGGGAGTGTGATGAGCATAGATCATTTATTCAGTAAACCTCTTATAATATGGTAAGGAAGTATGATATAATAGATCATTTGTATTGGCAGAGAACAGGTTTTCTTTTTAATCAAAAGTAACTCCTCACTAGTGTCTTATCATAACAATTCTGAAGTAGAATTACACGTAAGGCATATGTCATTATGGGTTGTTCCCCTGGGAGGGTCTTCTTAAAAGACCCAGTGCAAGGAATTGAGTTTTGCAATATGCAACGTTATGTGAATGAATGTAGGGCATCAATTTTGATTATAGGCATTTATTAAGCATTTCTTTTGCAGCATATTAGTGCTTTAGTCAACTAGACTGCTTTAAAAATGGTCCCTTTTGGCTGGGGGCAGTGGCTCACACCTATAATCCCAGCACTTTGGGAGGCCAAGGCAGGTAGATTACCTGAGGTCAGAAGTTCAAGACCAGCCTGGCCAACATAATGAAACCCCGATTCTACAAAAATACAAAAATTGGCCAGGCATGATGATGGGTGCCTATAATCTCAGCTACTTGGGAGGCTGAGGCAGGAGGATCGCTTGAACCTGGGAGGCGGAGGTTGCAGTGAGCCGAGATTGCACCATTGCACCAGCCTGGGCAACAGAGCGAGACTGTGTCTCGAAGAAAAAATATGTTGCCTTTTGTGTAATTTACTTAATTCCAAATGTCATGTTCTTTTTAATTTCTTTAAAATTCTTTATCTAAAGCCTTAATGGTCCTTTTTATTTGAAAGTATTATTGTGGCTCCAGGTAATCATCCGGGTACTAATTCTGGACTTGGTGGAGGACTCAGGCAGTGCCCTCAAGCAGTGCTTCTCAGACCTCAGTGTGCATGAAGCACCTGGATGCTTGTTGAAATACAGGTTATGATTAGTGTGGTGGTAGCAGGGCCCAAGAGTCCACATTTCTACAGAGGCTGCTGGTCCAGGGACCACACATTGAACTGTAAGCCTTAGGAAACTGATGCTTTTGTGGCTTTTAGCTGCATCCTGGTTTTTTTATTTTGTTTTTCAGAGTAAGCATCATCAGTTTATTTTTTAATATTTCGTTACTTGTTGTTCAAAAGTCAAGTTGAGAGTCAGGGGATACAAATCCTGCTTTAGTCAAAAGTTCTTGTTAAATAGGAAATTTCCTTTAGTCACCCTCTGAATCTGCTACCCTCATTAACATGAGTTCAAGTCTAGCTGGGCATGGTGGCATGCGCCTGTAGACCAGGCTATGTGGGAGGCTGAGTTGGGAGGATCACTTGAGCCCAGGAGTCCGAGGCTGCAGTGAGACATGATCACTGCATCTAGCCTGGGTGACAGAGTGAGACTCTGTCAAAATAAGTAAAGTAAAATCAAGTACAGTGGTAAAAGATAAAAAAACAAAGAGGTAGCTCAGGATTCCTTTTGGTAATATCATCCTAAAAATAATATATATAAATAGCCCCACATAACACAAATAACAAACTTTTAGGCCACACTTTTAAAGAAGAAACCAGGACGCTAGTTTTTCTTTTTTTTTTTTTTTTTTTTGAGACGGAGTTTCGCTCTTGTTACCCAGGCTGGAGTGCAATGGTGCAATCTCGGCTCACCGCAACCTCTGCCTCCTGGGTTCAGGCAGTTCTGCCTCAGCCTCCTGAGTAGCTCGGATTACAGGCACGTGCCACCATGCCCAGCTAATTTTTTATATTTTTAGTAGAGACGGGGTTTCACTATGTTGACCAGGATGGTCTCGATCTCTTGACCTCATGATCCACCTGCCTCGGCCTCCCAAAGTACTGGAATTACAGGCGTGAGCCACCACCCCCGGCCCAAATGCTAGTTTTTCTAAGCTCTGAGTTATTAGTATAGACCCCAGGGGATTTTTGATGAGTCTCAGCAAATCTCCTTCCTCCTCCTTTATAACATTTTGCTTATTCCATCCTCTGCTTTTTCAAACCCTCTCTGCTATTATTTGCAGCTTTTTGGCCCTAAAGAATGTCAGTGGAAGGTTTTCTTTCTTTCCCTCTTGTGTCTTTGTTGTTATTTTAGAAATAGAAGTCCCTGAGGCACTGTGTTCAACAATGGCTTGGGTTGAAAATTACCAAATCAGTTTCTTCCAATTTTAACTCATTGATTTCTGTGAGCAGGTTATTTTGATTTAATAATGATATTTAGTCTTATGAAAATACAGTACATGCAAGAAGGAAAGTTAGTGAGAAATATACAAGAACTAGTGATTCTTAGGAGAAAGTTATGGTACATAAGATGTTATTCCAATGATTGGTTCCTCTCTCTTTTTTTTTTTTTTTTAAAGACAGAGTCTTGCTCTGTTGGACAGGCTGGAGTGCAATGGGGTGATCTCAGTTCACTGCAACCTCTACCTCCTGGGTTCAAACTATTCTCCTGCCTCAGCTCCCAAGTAGCTGGAATTACAAGTGTGTTCCACCACACCCAGCTAATTTTTGTATGTTTAGTAGCAACAAGATTTCACCATGTTGGCCAGGCTGGTCTTGAACTCCGTACCTCAAGTGATACGCCCGCCTCAGCTCCCAAAGTGTTAGGATTACAGGAATAAGCCACCAGTGCCCGGCCGGTTTCTGTTTTATAAATGGTCAGTTTGGGGGAGAGTTTATGTTTTTAGTGATTGTAAAATGGCCATTTACTCAGCCTGTCTCATCCTGACTACAATGATGACAGTAAGCTATGTGGCACCATGACATTGAGCTGATCCTCAGGTCATGATGACAAATATATTGTCTGTGCTAAAATGGATTTGGTAGATCTCACAACTTGAGCCGTGAGGCCTGTCATTCTGCATACTGATGATTTTGGCAGGTTTGGAGATGGGTATATGTGTTAGCAATGGAAAATAATTCTTAAGCCATGAGATTTACTAGATGAACAAGGAACCATCTATAATGCTGACAACTGAGGATTCAGGCCATTCTGCCTTCAATCAGGAACTGAAAGTGAAGACTGGGATGAATAGAGTGTTCTATAGTGCTCCCAGGCCATTTATTCCATTCTGTTTAAATATTCACCCCTGTGATCTTAATATATATTAGTAGGCTTATTTTTTTGTGGGAAGATTAAATAAGATGGTGTAGGTAACTTGTGGGTTGAGGTTAGGTTGCATCTCAAGTTCACTCTTCTGTCTAATCCGTTTCCACAAAATAAGATGTCTGGCATGTAATTCCCCGCACCAGCCGGCCCCCCTCCCCCCCCCCCCCCCCCCCCCCCCCCCCCCCCGCCGCCCCGAGATGGAGTCTTGCTCTTTCATTCAGTCTGGAATGCAGTGGTGCGACCTCAGCTCATTGCACCTCCCCCTCCCGGATTCAAGCAATTCTCCTGCTTTAATCTCCTGAGTAGCTAGGACTACAGACGCACATCACCATACCTGGCTAATTTTTGTATTTTTAGTAGAGATGAGGTTTCACCATGTTGGCCAGGCTGGTCTCGAACTCCTGACCTCGTGATCTGCCCACTTCAGCCTCCCAAAGTGCTGGGATTACGAGTGTGAACCACTACGCCCAGCCTGACATGTAATTTTTAATGATGAGAGTGTTAAGGTCAACAATAAAAATGACATAATAAGCTAAATCCAGATTGATCAGCAGTACTCCGCATGCAGCAGACGCTCAGTAGAGCCTTTAGTATTTGGTCACAGATGTATCCAGGTGACCATTTGGAAGTGCAGTCATTGGAAGGAGCTGCTGCCCTTCCAAATGGGAGGAGGTTTCCTTCCTCACTCCTAGAACCCAGACTAGTGGATTAAGAAACACCAAGCTGAGGCTGGGCACAGTGGCTTATGCCTGTAATCCCAGCACTTTAGGAGGTCAGGGCAAGAGGATCACTTGAGCCCAGAGTTCAAGACCAGCCTGGGCAACATAGTGAGATCCTGTTTCTACAAAAAAAATTAAAAACAAAAAAAACTAACTGGACATGGTGGGATGAACAGATGGTCTCAGCTGCTACTTGGGAGGCTGATGTGGGAGGATTGCTTCAGCCTAGGAGTTGGAGGTTACAGTGAATTATAACACCACTGCACCCCAGCTTAGGCAACAGAGCAAGACCCCTGTTTCTTAAAAAAATAGAGGCCAGGCATAGTGGCTCACACCTCTAATCTCAGCACTTGAGAGGCTGAGGCAGGCGGATCACCTGAGGTCAGGAGTTTGAGACCAGCCTGAGCAACATGGAGAAACCCTGTCTCTACTAAAAATACAAAATTAGCTGGGCATGGTGGAGCAA